TTTTTTTTTTTATTATTAGGCTATGTAAAATTTCGTTATGTAGCTGCCCAAAAGCTTGGTTTTGATATTGCTTTGTTCAAAATGGATGATGGTACAGATATCAATGATGATGTTTTGTGCAATATTTTAATCCCGGTGCAATAGTCTATGCTTTAATTGCTGATGAAGCATCAGAAGCTTGGCAACAACATTATCTATAAAACCCGGCACACCGGACAACTCATTTGAACCATTGCAGACTTCTATACCAGAAACCAGCATGACTAGCATAACTTCAGCTGCAGATGTGCATCACATGGAAGACATGGAAAAAAGAACAGCGAAGCACGAGCAAGCATGTTGTACGTAAATGACCAAGGGGCGTGCCTGTTACTGTGATTTCAAGTAATAACGGTATATATCACAGTATTATATCTTATAGTAAGAATTTATTTCAAATATGTTACTATAAAAATGTGTATATGTAACTGTAAGTGTATTTGTATATGTGTGCTTGTATGTATGGGCAGAAGTGTACATTCACATTCACATACATGCACACTTGAATACAACTTAGTAGGGGTGTGACGTTTAATCGATTAATTATCCGATTAATCGGCCAAACCTTTAATCGAATAATTTTTTAGTTTTTGATTATTTTTTTCCCAAAATGCATAAATTTTATCAAAATCAAAAAAATGAGTATTGCAGCGCATGCTGGAATAGGCAAGTATAAAGTACACACCATTTAAACCCCCAACTCTTATTAATGTAGACGTCATAGGCATTTATTTTTAATCGATTATTAATCAATTAAATAATAGACCACGTTGCCGATTAATCGATTAAAAAAAAAAATTAATCGGCATCACGGATTAATACACATCTGCCAGAACATGTATGTTCTCATGCAAGAATCTTAAGGTGCCACTAAAATTCTGCTTCAAATATTATAAATCAATTTGATGTGTAAAAGAAAAATAGTGTATACATAGTGCATTTGAGTAAACTATAATAAATGAATGTATTAATGATTATTGTTTTTAAATATCTATTGACGTTTCAATTATTGTGGCATTAAAGAAGCATCCAAAAAAAAAGTAAATAGTAGAAAAGGGTAACAAAGCCGTAATGGCACGTGAAGCTGGTTTGGCAATGGTCAAGGCAGCATGTAGTCATCTCATTGACTTATTTGGAGAGTATGTATTTTTACATTTTATATAATGTTAGCTTGTTTAAACTCAAATTGAGAAATAGGTAAACTCGACAATAATAGCGAAAATAATAACACGGTAACAATTATGCTAATATTAAGTATTAACAATAATAATCAAGCTTATTTAATGTTAAGCTTATAGTAATAATTTTAATAACAATGACAATAATGATAAAAATTATAAGAAAACTAATATTTAATAATTAAAGTATTGGATAAATTTAAACAGTGCATTTTAATCATTGTTATGTTAAATACACTTGATGATGGGTTGGCAGATCAGTTAGAATTGTAGTTTTGTGCGAAATGGTAGAATGATTTGTTTTCGATGTGTTACCTTTTACAATTATTTACATTGTTGTGCAAGAAAGCATTATTTAGTTTATTTTTTATTTAGTTATCCACCAACAGAAAAAAAAAATTTGACAAAAAGCTCGAAAGGTTTCAGCCGTACATTTTAAAAATGGGTGCTACTGAGGAAGCATCCTATTAAATTATCTGTGATGGTCGTTTGTTGTAAGTGTAGCCATCGAAAGCTGCCAATGCTCTTTCAGATTTATTTTCAACGTTTTTTGTTTTTAATGTCAGATATCCATCTCAGCTTATGTCATTTTATGATTTTCTGGAGGTATATATGTTTGAAATGAAAACCAAACTCTCTGCCAAAGCTACGTTACTTAAACTACGTTACTTAAAGATTTGTCTGTATCATAAAAATTGCTTAGTTTTTTTATCACAAGGTTTAGGTATGGTGTCATAATCACTTTAATTTTATGAACTTCAAAAAATTATTGCAATTAGGTGATATGAGTCATAACAGGAGTATGTTAATGCACTCCTGGTCATTAATAGGCTAATATGGAAAAGGTGTTACATAGCTCTTATTGTTAACTTAGTAAAAGGTCTAATGATAAATGGTGTAATGCAGTTAGAGAACTCTAGTCAATATGACACCAGGTGCTAACTGTCATTTTTTGAATTACTGAGTAATTCATTTTTTGTGTTTCTTGTACACTGTTGTGTTTGAATTCATAGCGTGCAATATTATATAGTTCCTTTCAATGCTTATATTTTATACTCAGTGAAAGATGTAATGATAAAGATGTAATGCCGTTAGACAATGTCTAGTCAAAATGACAATTGGTACTAACTGTCATTTTTTAAAATTACTGAGTAATTCATTTTTGGTATTTCTTGTACATTGTTGCATTTGAATTCATATCGTGCTTTCAATGTGCTTAAAAATTTGTTTATTGACATGTTTAAGCATATTAAGATGATGCAATGTTTAGCAATAATGTGTTGTGTGCTTAAAGACTCAAATATTTTGCAAACATGTATAGGCATTACACACACACGCACTTAAATGTGTATGGTATATGATTGTATACTTTTACATAATTTCATATGCTCATAAACACATTTTCAATTTTTTTTACCTCTTCGGTGCTAAATGTGAAATTGTACTATTTTGGTTAGTTTGTGTTGATGTATAGCCTATTTGATGAAGAATTATTTCAATAACACATAGGCTATTATGTTATGTGAATGTTTTAGAATAAAGACTTGTATATTTGCATTTTTGCAGATATTGTTTTGACTATAGCACTCAAGAGCGAAAAATTCTGTTTTGTATTGCAAAATGACGTTTGCTTTGTATTCAATTATACATGTAGACCAGTTAATTGCGCATTTACTTCAAATACATTTAATATGTAGTTATAATACAGATTAGAAGAAAAACTCCAAAAATGTGTAATAACTAACACAAAAATGCGTAATAAATAACACAAAAAATGTCCTACTATGCACACAAATAATGTGTGAAAACTACACATTTTTTGAACTAAAGTACACACTATAATGTGTAGTTTGTATACACAAAAATGTGTGCAAGCTACACAATCAATGTGTATACTTTTCACACACACTTGTGTAGAAATATATAACTACACATTTATTGTGTACCTCATAACACAAATTTTTGTTGTCGCCATTTTAACACAATTAATGTGTACAAGACTACACAATTTGTGTAGCATTTCTACACAGTTTTTTTCCAGTGTATAAGATAGTCGATGTAGCAGCATTCCGTTGCGAGTCAGGGTTTAAGATAGTTGATGTAGCAAAACTCCCTGGCGCAACAAGCGCAAAAATATGACTATTTTAGGCCGCGTAACTGTAGCTTTACCATGTAAAATATGAATAATATGTAAACAATTCTTTGGGTAACTTTTCCTCTGAATGATGTTTAGCATAACAATACTTCATACTTTCAAATTTCTTGCTAGGATTTAAATATTCAAATAAAATGCCTAATATTTGAATTCTTATGCCAGTGAACAAGTTAAAAATTTTATTATTTTTTTTCTTGCAAAAAAAATATTAATTTTCAATGGGACGTTTTTTGATTTATATTCTTCAAGCAAGTTTCATTTTTATAAACTACTAAACTACTAAAGTTTTTATAAACTACTAAACTACTAAAGTTTTTATAAACTACTAAACTACTAAAGTTTTTATAAACTACTAAACTACTAAAGTTTTTATAAACTACTAAACTACTAAAGTTTTTATAAACTACTAAACTACTAAAGTTTTTATAAACTACTAAACTACTAAAGTTTTTATAAACTACTAAACTACTAAAGTTTTTATAAACTACTAAACTACTAAAGTTTTTATAAACTACTAAACTACTAAAGTTTTTATAAACTACTAAACTACTAAAGTTTTTATAAACTATTAAACTACTAAAGTTTTTATAAACTACTAAACTACTAAAGTTTTTATAAACTACTAAACTACTAAAGTTTTTATAAACTACTAAACTACTAAAGTTTTTATAAACTACTAAACTACTAAAGTTTTTATAAACTACTAAACTACTAAAGTTTTTACAAACTACTATGAGGCTTTTTTTAAATGATTAATTTTTTCGAACGAAAATTAGCTTACAGTTTTCACAATTTTATTTATTTGTAAAATCCAGTAATCCGTGAATTCTGGATATTTTGACCTTTTACATAGAGGTTTTTAAGATAATTTTTCTTGTGTTGTTATAAATGAATACAAGCTTTAAACTTCATTTCTTTTTTTAAAATTTTTTTTACTGCAACCTCAACTAATCTTTACCTCCTAAAACCTAAATTGAAAATCACACACTTTAGAGGGTTTCGTTATATTAAAATTACTAGCACCTCCTCTACGTCTATATTAAAATATTTTGATGCACCAAGCTTTGTGAACGTCGTGTTTTTTTTTTCTTGGTTCGGGACAGAAAATAGACCAATATTAGTTTTTTCCATATTTCTATTACAAAATGAATTTCCACATAACGATATACAGTAATACTTCTCTCTTCCCCCTTTTTTCTAAATTGGTTTGATAATGCTATTATCAATGAGACATTTTTATTAAGACTCTATAGAAAATGTAAGCAAACTAAATTCGTACTAAATTTGAGTTTGTTGACATTGTCTTTATTGGCCTCTTTTTAAAGCTGAGAAATCAGTTGCGCAAACGAGTTAGAGAAGTCTATTTCTAACGTTCTCTGAAGAGGAGTTGAGGCAGGTCAGAATAGTCTAGAAAAGCTGAAATAAGAGACCGACTATAAATTACGTAACGCAATATTTCGCAATAAACAAAACAAAAAAAGAACAAAGGTTTTCCCTCGCAGAGTCTTAATTTTAATAAATAATCAAAATAGGAAATTAACTTAAATAAAATCGCCGCGTAAAAGAACTTAGTATCTCCTACTTCTGTTCTTAAAATATTTTTTGCGTTGCGTAATTTATGGACTATATATAAGGCAGAAAGAGCTAGAGAAGTTAAGCAATAGACGTTTCAGTATAACGGTATTTGCTATATAATAATTAATGCCAAATCCTCATTGCCGATACTGTTTATCAGAAAGATCACAGTAAGTGTTAAATCTGGTTAAAAAGGTTTGTAGCTTTTATTTCTATTTCAAAATTATTTATATTTTAAGGTTGGTAGTTTTTACTTTTATTTCAAGCATTTTTGAAGTGTTTCCAATAACATCTTTCTTAAAAGGATTTCGATAGACTTTTCTCATCAAACTTTAATAAGAAAAGCCTTTAATTTAAAGCTGATGCCAGTGCTTCTGCTTAAATTTAAAATTGACAATCTTTAACAAGATCAGTGGCGGAACTTCAAAATTTGGGCCCCCCCCGCAAAAGAATGTTTTTTTTGCGGAAAAGAGTTTTATAGTATAAATATTATTGAGAGTATAACTTTTTTTATATGAGGGCCCCCTATAGCTGGTAGGCCCCCCCGCAACGCAGGGTCCTGCGTCCAGTAGTTCCGCCACTGAACAAGATTTAATTAGTATAAATTTATTTTTTAAATTTTTTTTTCTTTTTAGTGAGAATGAGGTCTTTACAATAAAATCGATTGTCAAGACCTCCGATTTACTAAACTAAAGTAAATTAAAAGGTGTTTAACTTATTTCAAATATGTTAATATAGTTTAAAAAAACTTCTATAAAGTAAAAAATTGTATTTTAAAAAGTTTTGAAATTTTAAGTGTTAAAGTTTGGTTGTTAATTCAAATTTTTTTTTTAAGGTAATAATAACACATTTTTCTATTGTACGCCAATATATATGAAAAAGAAGACAAGATATGACTGTAGCTGCCTATGCTAGGTTGTAAAGGAATAACTCACTCTTACTCATCTGTAGCATACAGCAATTTTAATTTCTGTTGTGTTAACTATTTAATATATCACATTTTCAGTAAACAAGAAAAAAATTTTATGATTAAATTGTTTAAACAATTGTTAACACAGTTGTCAAGGCTACACAGTTAACAACTGTTATTAGTACAACTGTTATTAGCTGATTTATCAACTGTTAAAAGCTTTAGATTTGAACTTTGTTTCAAAATAAATAATTAACAAATAAATACAATTTGTTGAGATTTTAACATTCTTTAGGTTGTTTTTTTTTAAACACTTAAGAATTTATCACTTTTTATATTAACATTAGCAAATAAAGCAAATTAATGTTAATGTTTTTTAAAATTCAAAAATGTGTTGTTATTTTTTTTTTTGAAGTAATATTTAAATATAATGTCGTTAATATAATTTTTTTTTCTTTAGCTTGCGGGACTCTCCACAAGAAGAACTTTGTAGAATTTTTATTTTTCACAAGTTGTAACAAGAGTCAACCTTTGTATTATATGAAATGATGCAAAGGCCTAAATTACCAAGATAAATTTAAAATCTAGGCAAATTTATTTATGCGCTCTGATTTAAAAATGAGAGCGCAAAAATAAATTTGCATAGGATTATCTGAAGGATTACCAAAAAGTGTGTTTTTTAAAATACTTGCATATAGATACAACATTCGGAAAATCAATGAGTTTTGTATCATTACCATTTATCAGGTATTATTGTTTAATATTTGAAGTATCGCCAATTATCAATTATTAATTCTCGTTTGATATTTGAAATACACCAATTATTAATTATTCTTTAATATTTAAAATAATAAAGTACAAGTTACTGAAAAATGTTACTTTTATAAACGGATTTTATATATTTTTGTCAATGTTGGAGATAAAATTGTTATAAATTGTGATAACAGCATTACAAGAAAATCTAGTTTGTTTACTTTGATTAACTCTCAATGGAGATATATTTTATATTCAATATATAACATGCAATATTCAATACAATAACAATAATAATATAGTAAAGACTAATTCAATATTTAAAGGAAATCCTAAATTTCTTTTGAATATGCGATATGCATATCGCATATTCAAAATTCGCGCCGGCCTTGGTTATAACTCATTGATAATGGGCTGAAAATAAACAAAAAATTATTAAAATAAAATAATTTAATAATTTTTTGTGTATTTTCAGCCCATTATCAATGAGTTATAACCAAGGCCGGCGCGATAGGGGGTGCGGGGGTGGATCCTTTTTCTTTTTTTTTTTTTTTAGTCAGCTAAAGTTGTGATGGCACCCCCCTCACGAAACACCTACTCGCGCCGGCCCTGGTTATAAGTAAAAAATTATAGCCACTAAGTTTCAATTGTAAAATATTAAAATCTTTGCATGAGAATATCTAAGAGGTTTTAAATGTTTTTCCAGATTTGAGAAAATCAACTTTAAAGTTTTGTCTACTCTTTTATGAAAACTATAAACAATTCAATGTTTTTTCATAATGATTGTTTATTTTATCTAATAATATAAGTTTCAAAGATATAAGGTTAAAGATTTTTTAATAGAAACTTTTGGTTTCAGTTGGATATTTTAGTAATTATAATAAGGTTTTCTTGTTGGAATTAGAAGATTTTATAAGAAATACTTGTGTTGTATACCACATTTAAAAAAATTAATAACGCAAAAGACAAAATAGGACATAATCATTGCTGTTCTCAAGGGAAGGTATTGGATACAGTTCTAGTTTTTAATTTTTTTTTCATAATCTATTAATTTATATCAATGATATATAATATAACTAGATGTCTAACTTCATTACGATAAGTGAAGCCGCTTTTTGCAATTTTTACAAATGGCGGATTAAATATGTAAACAAATATTTAATTTTTTTTTTCTTTAATAAAGTAAATATATTTTAAATTTAAATACTAATTACGTAAAAGTGTTAAGCGGAAATTACAATACTTGTAAAATATTAATTTATGATTCCTTAATTTATTTTCGATTAAAAAGGAAAAAGGTTTTGAATAGAAAGGTAAAACGTCGTACTATTTTGAAGCTTTCTTATGAATTAAAATACGTTTTAATAAACATAGGCTCGTAAAAAAATTTTTAAAGTGTTTATAATTGTTAAAACGTGTTTTTAGATTATCTTTAATTTATTGGAAACTTTTGACTTGCAATTCTTTTATTCTACACTTCGGCTTCAGCTTTTGCCCTTTTTACAAATGGCGGACTATTTTTATAAACAAAATTTAAACGGCTTTACTTTTTGTCCAATAAAATCCCGCAATTTAGACATCTAGTTATATAAGATATCATTGATTTATATAAATCTCTTACTTGTATTTGTTCTATTTAAAGATAAAAATGTGATTTTCATAATAAACTTCTTAGTTTTTAATGTTTAATTATGTTAGAAACTCTCCCCCTCCTCTATCTTTCTTTCACAACAACCCCCCCCCCCCCCTATATACTATAGCTATTTTAATAATAATGAGCAAAAATAAGAAAAATATTTGAAATAAAAATGTTTAAAATCTCTTTCAGATCATTCTTATTTTTTTCTGTCATGACACTTTAATTGAACTTGTAAAAAAATCCCTGGTTTAGGCATAGTAAACTTAATATTAATTTTAACATCCTTGTTAGTTTTTTTTCTTCTATAATTTTCAGGTGGCTTTTCATTGGCTGTATGAAATATTTTTATAATCAACACAAGAGGTGTGCATTTAATTTGGAGTGATTTTATTTTTTGAGATTATATTTTCTTAAAAAATTTGTTTGCAACTTTTTGAAAATCTTGCGGATGTGTTTGACTAATTTCTACTTACTGTGTGCATCAATATGTCTCATCAATGAAATTGGTGAGTAAAATTCAGATGACTGCAGTATTTTTTTTTTTTTTTTTGTTAAACTCATTTTATCCACATCCTGAACTACTGAATATCCTGGTACTCTGTACTTCATTTTAATATATTCAACTGTTGAGTCAGAAAATAAATGGCAATTGTCATTATTGAGTTGCAGTTTTAAGAAACGCAGTCACCACTCCAATTCAATTAATGTTTTGATTTAAGAAAGTTTTTGGCAAGATAATTCAAAAAAACTTTTCAGTCCACTTGCAAGATTTTTACCTGTTCTTCCAAAAGTTATTTCTGGCCACACTACATAGTACTACTTAACTGTTTTATTAAATTTAACATGTGCTGTCAGATTATAAATATTTAGTTTTTTTTTGTAATTTAAGCTACTAATTTCAGCCTTCGGAAACTGAATAACATTTTGCTGATTAAAACTAATGACATCATCCAGCTGATTGTTACAGTCACATGTTTTTTTGTTTCGCATTACTATTTTTTCTTGTAAATGGACTTGATATATCTCTTCCATTCCTTTATCAAAATTTTTATTTTCTTTTGCTACTTTATAAATTTCACATTTTTTTTTTGGTTTATGTAAACTTAAATTAAAGTGAGAGTTAAATAAAAATGTAATGAGCAAGAAAACAAGTTAAAGGACTCTTTAACTTGTTTTCTTGCTCATTACTTTTTTCGATATAGGTATTATATATATTTTATGTTTAAATTTGAGGTAAGGTACTTCTTAGTGCATAAAGAGCGCCAATAGCAACTATTAATCACCAATAGCAACTATTAATTGCCGGGAATAAATTTATTATATATACAGTAGCGTGCAAAAGTAACCGGGCAACTATTAATTGCCGGGAATAAATTTATTATATATACAGTAGCGTGCAAAAGTAACCGGGCAAGCGCGTAATTTGAGATTTTTAAATATAATCTTAAAAGTTCATTTTATTGAAATATGCGCGTGCAAAAGTATCCGGGTTGAACTAAAATAATAAAATTGCAATACTTTTTTTGGCTTTTATTTAATGTTTAAAAACGGTAAACAAAGCATAAAGTATTTTTAATTAAAAGATTGTTTTGAATAAATTTTAAAAATGACAAATATACAAGTTTAGCTGTCAAAGAAGCGGTATTGCGTGCAATTGAACAAGGCAGAACTACAAGAGGCATAGTGGATCAGTTTGATATAGGAAAATCAACAGTAGCAGATATATATTTAAAAAATATAAGGAAATAAATTACAATAGAATCTCTCCAAAGTCAGAAAGGCCTCGAATTATATCTGAAAGACAAGATAAAATTTTAGTTCGTGCCGCAAAAAATGATCCACGCAAAAAAGCTGTCGTGTTAAATGCTGAAATGAAAGAATTTTATAATGTAAAATGTAGTGTTGACACAACCAAGCGTCGTTTGAGGTCTGCAAACCTATTTCGAAGAAGTCCTGCAAAGAAACCTTTTATTTCCATAAAGAATCGAAAAGCACGCTTGAGATTTGCTAAGGAACATTTGAATTGGTCAAAAGAACAATGGTCGAAAGTACTTTTTAGTAATGAATCTAAGTTTATGTTATTTGGATCTGATGGTATTAGATATGTTCGTCGACCAAAAGGCCATAGAAACGATCCTAACTACCAGCTACCAACAGTAAAGCACGGGGGTGGAAACGTTATGGTCTGGGGTTGCTTTAATAGAGATTGTGTCGGTCCTATCCATTTGATTGATGGCATAATGGACAAAAATATGTACAAAGATATTTGTAAGGATGTTATGCTACCACATGCTAAAGGCAAAATGCCTCGAGGATGATTATATATTTCAGCAGGACAATAACCCAAAGCACACTTCAACCCTTGTGAAAGACTTTTTCAAGATCAAAAAAAATCGATTATTGGAATGGCCTTCGCAAAGTCCTGACCTTATCCTTATTGAACATCTATGGGAAAAGCTTGATCGACAAGTTTCTGGTTGTAAACCAACAAATAAACATGATTTATTTAAAAATCTGAAACAAGTATGGGAAAAAAACGACAATAGTGTGATTGTAAGCAATAACCAATGCCAAGGGTTTCCCGACAAAGTATTAAAGAAATTTACTTCAAATTACAACATTTTTAATTTAAAAAATGTTAAAAAAAAAAAACTACTTCAAGGATTTTTTTCTGCCCGGATACTTTTGCACGCGCATATTTCAATAAAATGAACTTTTAAGATTATATTGCTTAAATTTAGTAAAAATTCATTTGATTTTAGAATTGTTATCAATTTTTTGATATTCCAAAGAAAATTTGAAAGAAATTGGACTTTTCATTCAAAAGTTATCTCAAGTTATGCGCTTGTCCGGTTACTTTTGCACGCTACTGTATGTATATAATAATTTAAGTGATTTACCTTATTTTAAATTCTCATTAAATGAAACCTCTTGTTTATTTTATATTTTCCTCTTATGTCTGCTTTTGGAATCAAAGGATTTTTTTTTCATGCACATTTTTAATATTTTTTGACTAATACATAGTGTTGGTATAAAAAAAGTTTTGCAAACGGATTTGTTTATTTGCTAAAACAAAAAAAATATTGAAAAGAATAATTTTAAAAAACCTATTTGGTCTGGCGAGCTGATTACATCTTCTATATCTTGTTATATTACATTTTCTATATCTTAAAATAAAAAAGTTTTACCTATTTTTGTCCATATTGTAGTAAGAATGTTTAACAAAATTTCTCTGTTCAAAGGTAAGTTTTGTGTGGCATTTATACTTGCAGTTTTCCTTACATATTTCAGAAATTGTTTTTGGTGGAATTATATTTTGAGTATTACTAACACAAGACTCTCCAGACTGGCATAATTTCCTACGCTTATTCATTTTCTAATTTTCTGGCTGTCTAGATTTTTTTTAGTTATTTATTGCTTGTTTCAATAAGACCATCTTTAAAAAAGAAAAGTCAACAGTTGAAGCTTTAAACACATTAAGATTTAATTCCACATTGGTTTTTGAAATCGGCAATTGTTCACAATGAGGATGCAATCTTGCTTTACAGTTTTATTTCTAGCTACAATTATTTCATTTACTACAGAATATTAATTTAAAGAATAATTATTAACTGTTTTGAATTATTGTTTTGTCTTTTTATGTAATTAGTTTTTCTTTCATTATTGGATTAAAGGATATTTCTGAAATAAAAATTCAGACTATTCGTTACGTCTCAATCATGTTCAGTAATACAATAATCAATCTCAACAAATATACAAGTACTAATAAAAACAGAATTTTAACAAATAGTTTATTCTAAGAGTAGTTCATTTACAAAACAAAGGTGCTTTTCTTGCTTTTTTTGAAGCGAAATTTCGAATAACTTTGTCAAAATCAATTGACCTAGATATTGAAGATTCGAGACTCAACATTGCCATATCCACTAACCGTTCTTGTAGCATTGTAGTTCTTAAAAAGTTTTTAATCAGTTTTACTTTGCTAAATGAGCGTTCAGCGGATGTAACTGTACCAGAAATTGTTAAGAATATTCTCAAGCATACACAAATATTTGGAAATAGGCCATGTAAATTAGTTCGACTAATCGAATTTAGGAGTTCAAAGGGGCTTAATTGATTCGATCCAAAATTTGCATAGTGTATAGATTTTAACTGTTTTATTTCCATTACAATATCTTCGCTAATATCTGCTGAATACTCTTCACTTAATAATTTTGCATTCATTTCCAATGTATTCAAATTAATATTGAGATAATTCCACATGAAGCTAAACTTATCTGAAATGCTATGTGCTGCTTTGAATCTTACAGTAAGGCCACTAATACCACTATCTAACACCACATAGAAAACAAAACTTCTAAAGCATGATTCCTCCATGGTCTCATCTTCATTTAAATCTGTAAACCCTTGATCCTCTGGCTCGCCAACAACTCTGGCTCTTTTGCAATTTGCACTACCACGTCCTCTTGATAGTTTGATTTCTATATCCAAATTCATTGCAACATTTTTTGATTCTGACCAGATATCTTTCCATTTATTTCGAAGCTCAAGAAGTTGTCTCAGTAAGTGGTTTATGTTGTCCACTTCCACATCTAAAGTTGCAATTGGAACAAGAATTTTGTACCATATCGATGACATTATTATGCAGAAAAATGAGTTAATATAATAAAAGGCACCTTCTACTTCAGCTCTTGTTTTAGAAGTCAAACTTAATTCTAAAAGCTCTTCCAATGACAATTTAATCCCTGGAAGTTGTGCTGCAAAAGGTTTGACACTTTCAACACGATCTGACCACCTTGTATGTGACATTCCTTTTAGTGAGAAATTGATGTGTTTTGATAATATCTCCCATCGTGTTGGACTTGAGCTGAACAAATTATATACTGTTTGAATCGTTTCAAAAAATTTTACAGCTTCAGGAATACATTCTGCCGCACCATTTCCCACATGATTAAGTGTGTGAAATCCACAAGGGGAAAATAGTGCTAATGGACATAACTGAAGTATTTTGGCTTGCACACCATTGTATTTTCCAGCCATATTTGATCCATTGTCATATGCTTGTGCCCTGCAATCTAAGAGAGGAATGGAGTTATATTGAAATGTTTCCACTATCATTTGAGATATTTCATCCACATTTAATTGTTGCAATCTACATATGTTAGAAATTGTTCAACAATTTTATATTGTAAATCTTTTAATATTACATATCGTAATATGAATTTTGTTTGCTCTGTATGTGACGAATCTGGTGTTGCCTTGACCGTTATTGCAAAATACTTAGCAGATCTTCTTTCTTGAAAAATATGCTGTCGCACCAAATCTGAGCATTCTGCAATGAAGTCATTATGAGTATCAGCTGATAGATAATGAACTTGAAGTCTTTTGCCTTTTCGCTGAGGTTTTTCCACTGACAATACATGCTCTTTAAGTATAGGGTCCCAATGTAAAAGTAACTCTTTAAGACCCAAAAAGTTGTCTTTATCTACATCTCCAATTCGCTGGGAGGATCCCCGAAAAGCTAATCCACGTTCACCCAAAATAAGGATAACATCTAATATTCTTTTAAGAATATTGGACCATTTCGTTGATTGCAATTTAATTGAGGTTTCCAAGTAAGTTTTAATACCCTCTCCAAATAAAAAACGTCTTTCTAATTCTCGCCAAGCTAGGTAACATTATCTGTTGACATTACTCCTCTCATGCTGTGGACATTACTCCTCTCCTGCTCCGGAATCCTGTTACACAACTTTCGCCATTTACCAGTTGCTGCATATCCACCAGGTAAAGCCAATACTGATCTTAAGCCAATACTGATCTTTTCTCTTTTTCAAATTTTCAGTGAAAAATTCTAAAGAGAAGCTAACTAGAATTCAACTAGAAAAAGCAAAAAAAAGGGGCACACAGAGAAAAAAAGGAGAGATTTCTAACTAGATTTATACAATCTAAATTCTAATTAGAGATTAAAGTACTATAATCTACTGAATCGATAGATTATAGTACTTTAATCTCTAATTAGAATTTAGATAGTATAAATCTAGCTAGAAATTTCTCCTTTTTTTCTCTGTGTGCCCCTTATTTTCGCTTTATCTAGTTGAATTCTAGTTAGATTCTCTTTAGAATTTTCAGTGGGACCAAAATATGCCCATTTTTTAAGTGTATGAATATCTTTTTCTAAATGTGCAAAATATGTGTTTTTTAAGTATGTCACTAATAAATTTTTGTAATTATTATTGTAATTATTTTAAAAAAAAAGCTTTGGTTAATGGGCCCTAATTGTTCTATGGGCCCTGGAGCAGTGCACCGCCTGTACACCGCCTGTAAATTTCATTGTAAAATATTTAAGCGTTCAAAAATATGACCATATAAAGTTTAAACCTCCATCAGTTTGAGGGGGTTTGGATGGGTTCAAACCGGTTGTAGCGGTTGTATTGATCCTTTTCGACGACTAGATTTTATAGAAACAAGTAAGTGGAGATGAAAAGACACATTGTCAGTTAGCCAACGCAATCCTTGTTTATACACTAATATGTAAAAAAAAAATTCTTTATTTACATAGTCTTTTATTAGTCTAACGCTAATACACCTGTCGAAAAACTTTCTCTTTTGCAAATTTTATTTTTTTGCAAATATCCTAGATTTTTTCTTTGTTTAGCAAACATTTGAGACGCTGCGCAAATAAACGCATAAATAAAAGGTTTACGTGTACGCCAAAATTTAAAATGCTGCGCAAATAATAAAGACTATAAAATTTATAAATGGAAAATTTATAAATGGAAACTTGATAAAATTATGTAAGCTATCGCGTCAGGTATCCATACCAAGTATCCATAATAGGCATCCCGACCAGGTATCTATACCAATTATCCACAACAGGTATTCAGAACAGGTATCCATACCAGGTATCTACTACTTCATAACAGGTATCCACTATAGGTATCTCCATACCGCGTACCAAGCGTGTCCCCTGCACAAATATTTAAAATGGTAGATTTCAAAAAGGTAGCTTTTTTATACGTGAGAATTTTATGAAGAACATTTTCTCTCTCTCTTGTTTCAAAAAAATGAATTACACAGATATATATATATATATATATATATATATATATATATATATATATATATATATATATATATATATATATATATATATATATATATATATATATATATATGTATATGTGTATATATATATATATATATATATATATATATATATATATATATATATATATATATATATATATATATGTATGTATGTATAAATACATATGTATACATATGGTTAAAGTTTAAAGGAGGATTGCGACCATATTTAACGGGTGCTTAACAAATTGCTAACACATTTAACATTCAGCAAGATATCTACAGGCCTGAAATTCATGGCAAGCATAAGTTTTATACATTAAAATATAAAATATTTTTTTATATTTTAATATAAAAAATATCTTAAAAATGGCGGACCTTTTTTTTTAACAGACGCAAATGTAAAAAATAACTTTTTTCAAAGTTGTTGTAAAAACTTATGTTTGCCATGAGTTTTAGATCTATAGATATATTGCAAAATGTTTTATGTGCTTTAACACATGTTAATTGTTAAGCATCCATGATATATGGTCACAATCGTCTTTCAAGTTTTATCCATGACAACTACAAGTAATAAGATTACAACGTAAATGCATTATATTCCATTGCCAAGGACAACATATTATATTCCATTTTCAAGGAAAACACATTATGGCTATACTCGCATAATCAGAAAACAATAAAAACTGAACGATCCCTAGTTCACAAATTACGCAAAGTTTAACTAATAAACAATACAAATAAGATCAAAAGTTTTTCTTCACAGATCTTTAATTAGACCAAAACTCAAATTAGTTCTTAAAGTTCAATGAAAGTCGCTGCGCAAATGAGCAAATGATCTCCTACTTCTATTTTTTGAATAAGTTTCGCGTTGTATAATCTATGGATGATCCCTTACCATATTCTTCGAATGCTTTTAAACTTTAGAATATTGCAGAAGTAAAAATAGGAAACTAGATAGCAGAGATTCTGAGAACATAATCAACTATAAACACGTAACTAAAATTATTCTTGATGTTATAGATTGGTCAACATAGACTGGCTTGAAGTCAATTCACTAAGAATGTATGCAGTTATGAGAAACTTTACTGTCATGATAACCACACTTAAAATTAAAACTGAAGTTAATTATATTTTACGGTAATTATAATGTAAATAAAATTAATAATAAAATATTCAAATCTTGATAAATAAAATGGTTTAATCTTAAGACAACTGCTATCACCAAGCATACTATCATGCATCCATAATATCACCAAGCATACTATCATGCATCAATAAAATTCAGACAAATCATTATATAATCTTTCAGTCTCGAATAAAATATCTTATTCGTTATTATTACGTTATTAGTTTTACTACGTTTTCTTTTTTTCAATTGAAACCATTTTTTTATTCTATGAGCTGAAAGATATATTACATATATTTTATAATAATTTATGACGATCATTAGAATTATTTTAATAAAATAATTTTAATGATAAAACTAATAATTAAATAATAAAACTGCAATAATAGTGGAACTACAATAATATACATAAGTTTTGAAGACTTTTTAATAATTTTTCTGTTAAAAGGCAAATTTATTTCTAAACAATTTTAAAATCCGTGCTTTTAAAATGGTGCATCTTTTTAGAATATTCTTCTTTTTCTGAGTTGCAAAAAATTCTAGCCTACTTAGGGCCATGAACCTATCCCTTAATAGGATTATCCCCAAACACTAAAAAATCTGAACACGCGTGCAGAATATTATTTGGAGCTGATAGAACTGTAAGAGTTGTACCTTATGAGCCACTTCTGCATGTGCTTGGTGCATTAGATGTATATAAAATCAACTTACACCAAGTTTTAATTGTTCATGTGTAAAACAAAGATGCGACTGTCTCCTAAAATATTTTAATCCTATTTACAAATCAAATCAAACAGGTTTCGAAATATAAGCTAATATTTCAAGGCAATTTATTATAATTCAAGTAATAATATAATGTAAATACCTGAATTTGAACGAGCCTCCCCTATGTCTGATTGTACTAAAAATGAATCTTTTAGGTCACAAAAAAATTCTTTATATGATTTGTATGAGTGCATTTGTTTCTTTGAACATTAAATTGTTTATATGTAAAACCAATCTCCGTGTTGAGCAGTTCAAGAGATTCTTTAACAAAATGACTCTTAATAAATAAATCTCTTAAATAAATTTTCTAAAAAATCTCTTAAATAAATTTAATAAATCAGACTCAAATAGTGGTACTTCAGTTTCAGAACCACTATTTGGAAACTGAAGAACCACTATTTGGAAACTGAAGAACCACTTTGGAAACTGAAAAACCACTTTGGAAACTGAAGAACCACTATTTTGGCCTGTATCTATGCTCTATTGCAGCTCTATTTAATCGTTTAATACAAGAGATTAAATAGAGCTACATGTTCACAGGCCTACGTTGAATGGCTGTGAGCATGTTAGCTCATAAAAAGGAGTTGTGCATATTTCCTGCAAAAGTGATGCTACAGTTAAGTTGTCTATATATTTTCATTTTTGTATGAGTTTGCGCACAACATAAGGTACGTGTGAAAGTTGGTACACACTGAGCCTTAACAAGCCCAAGAGAAGTGAAGCAAAATTAATTTGTTTCAGGCGCGGATGCAGCATTTTTTGATGTTTGAGATACCTAACATCCAGACATGGAGCAAACTCCAAAAATTTATATGTTTATAGTTATATCAAATAAGGACGCTTTGTAAAAAGTTGCAATAATTGGAGCCTGGGAACAAAAAAGCCCTAAAATTTTAGCTACACCTGTCCCAAGCGTGAGAGCAACAAGTTGATAAAAATATTTTTTCTACTATTCTCAACCAAGTATATATTCATCGACAAATTCAAAGTATATATTCATCGACAAAACTCACACAATAATCTCTTAGCGTTCAATAATTACGGCCTTATAAAGTTTGAAACCCCCTTAAATTGAGGGGGTTCAAACTTTTTATGATTATAGTTTTTGAACGCTAAAAGTTTTGTGTTAATTTTAAAATTTGTCGATGAATATAGATTTAGTTAGGAATTGTATAAAAATTATTTTATCAATTTGTTGCTCTCACGTTTGGGGCAATTTTTCAGTATTTAATAGATGGCTCAATAACAACATTTTTTGTTGTTATTGAGCCATCTATTAAATACTGAAAAATTACAATAGATGTCTTGGTAATTCCTTATACTATGGTCATTTCTTATATTTTGGAGCAACTGATGTTGCTTTGATAAACTGATTAGCACCTCTTTACTATCAACAATTTTGATTGGTTACAAAAAAAACTTATTAATTAAAAAAAAACTAACTAATCGCCTTCATACATTTTAGAAAAATAATTCGAAAAGTTTAATTATCTTTGAATATTTCTAATTATCCAGATGATAATATAAGAAAATAATTATTTTTAAATATTTGGTTAAGCTAATCAATTCTAGCTAATCATTTAATGATTAAGAGAACAAATGCATACATTGCTATGAATCATCTGAAAGTTTTTCTAAAAAATGAATAAAGATTAAAACTATTAAAAATAGTTTTTTAGCCAATCAAGAGTGTAGATTTTAAAAAATAATTGCATTAATTGCTTTAAAACATAGGTAGTGGTGATTTAGGGGGTGGGACAGAGGACTATAGCCTGGGTCGTGCAGTTATGGAGGCCCCGAACTAAAATAAAAGATTTTTTAAAATAAACTCTGAAAAACAAAATCTTTCATTAATGGCATGGAAAGGAGCCTCCTGTTATAAAATAGCCTCGGACTTCGAAAAGCCTTAATCCGTCACCGAACATATAAAACATCCATGAAATACGTAAAGTTCGTATTTAAATAATATCCTACTTCTATTTTTACAACTTGAGTAAAAATACGTAGCAACAACGTAGATAAAGCAAAGGTTTAATAGGTATGTATGTATGTATGTATGTATGTATGTATGTATGTATGTATGTATGTATGTATATATGTATGTATGTATGTATGTATGTATGTATGTATGTATGTATGCATGCATGCATGCATGCATGCATGCATGTATGTATGTATGTATGCATGTATGTATGTATGTATGTATGTATGTATGTATGTATGTATGTATGTATGTATGTATGTATGTATGTATGTATGTATGTATGTATGTATGTATGAATGTATGTATGTATGCATGCATGTATGTATGTATGTATGTATGTATAAAATATGTATGTATGTATGTATGTATGTATGTATGTATGTATGTATGTATGTACTGTATGTATGTATGTATGTATGTATGTATGTATGTATGTATGTATGTATGTATGTATGCATACATACATACATGCATGCATGCATGCATGTATGTATGTACGTATGTATGTATGTATGTATGTATGTATGTATGTATGTATGTATGTATGTATGTATGTATGTATGTATGTATGTATGTATGTATGTATGTATGTATGTATGTATGTATGTATGTATGTATGCATGTATGTATGTATAAAATATGTATGTATGTATGTATGTATGTATGTATGTATGTATGTATGTATGTATGTACTGTATGTATGTATGTATGTATGTATGTATGTATGCATACATACATACATGCATGCATGCATGCATGCATGTATGTACGTACGTATGTATGTATGTATGTATGTATGCATGCATGCATGTATGTATGTATGTATGTATGTATGTATGTATGTATGTATGTATGTATGTATGTATGTATGTACCCTTACAAAAAAACCCAGCGAACTTCCAGTGAAAAAATGTTCCAAAACCCAGCGAACTTCCAGTGATCTTTTCCAGTGATCTCTAAAGTTCACTGGAAATTTGTTCCAAAACCCAGCGAACTTCCAGCGAACTTTTCCAGTGATCTTTAAAGATCACTGGAAGTTCGCTGGAAATTTCCAGCGAACTTGTTCCAAAACCCAGCGAACTTCCAGTGAACTTTTCTAGCGAATTTTCATGTTTATGTATAAAAATAGATTCGCTGGAAGTTTTTTTAAAAAAGATTTTTTATTTTTGCTATAAAAGTTTCAAAAGTTTATAAACATTTTAAATTTTTCTTAACCAATAAACGCGAAATAAGAGAAGTTAAGCGCGATAAAAAAGTAATATATTTATTTTAAAATATCGAGTTTTATAAATTAAAATACAATGTAGGATTAGATTATCTTAGGTATAATTACAAATTCTCAGAAATAAACTTCAATACAGAATACAATTTTTAACAAGAAACTAAAAAGTTAATTTATTAATTAATGTAAAACATATTTTTTTATAGGCATAAGTAAACTTTATATTACGCATGTTTCTATATTTAAAAAGTTTTTTCTCGTTAGCGTTCTCACACGGTGGTTTAAGTTTAAGCATTTCCGGACATTTATTATGCGCATGCGTTACTTAAAAAACAACAACAACATCGTAATTTTGACTTTTTTTTTGTTATGGTTTTTTATCGTAACCTAATAAAAAAGGTCATATCATTGCTTTGAAGATGTTTATACCAGATATAAATTCATAAACTAATAAAATATATGGCCAAGGAAAACACATTAATTTGAAATACTTAAATTTGTTATTTTTTATGTAATAAAAAACGCGGGAAATTCGGAAATTATTTTATGGTCATCCTAATTACTAAAACATATTAATTAGGCATTTATTAGAATTTTTATGCCTTAAAGCTGTACATATTTTAAAAGAAGAAGGTTTCAACTTTATAATAAAAAAAAATTAGAGTCCGGTTACTTTTTTAAGTTTAAAAATTTTGTATATCAAATCTTATATTTTAGCAATAAAAAAACATACAAAAATGACTGAGTCTTATGAAACAAAACTAAAAACATTATGCAGAATATGTGGAGAAAGTGTAGATAATGATAGTGTTCTTTTAACAAAACACATTGCTAGAATAGAATTTTGTTTTTTTATCCGAATCGATAAAGACCACTCAAATATACATCCTCAAAAAATGTGTTATAGATGCTTTTCAATATTAAGAAATATTGAAAAAGGTTCAAACACTGAACTAAAATTAAGATCATGGCTTGAAAATTGTAATCTAACTGAATGTGTTTGCTTTAAATCCAATAAAGGAAGAAAAAAAAGAAAAAGATAAGTAGAAGACCTTCGAGTATTAGTTATAAAGAAAATAATTGGACAAGACACAAAATAAATAACATACAATCTAATTTTTTTGAATTTTTCATATTTAATCATAAATCTCAGAATTGAAAATACTACTTGAAGCAGACCATATAAAGAAATCATTTGGGCCACTTGTAAAAGAACTAGATAAGGTACTTAATTCATTAGGAGTACAAAGACAAGCATACCACGGGAAAAGTTTTGTTGGTAATCATGTTAACAAAATGTTAAAGGTAAAATATATCTAATATATATTTCCTAAATTTATAAAATCTACTCTTTACTAAAAACAAAGTGTACCTAAATTTAAATGTACAATACAATATAAATATATGTGCGTATGTGTGTGTGTGTGTGTGTGTGTGTGTGTGTGTGTGTGTGTGTGTGTGTAAGTGGAATAGATGGCTTATACTAACATTATTAGACATAACTAAATACGTAATTAACAACAGTTGCTACATATGATACATATTTCACAATTATTTTATATACTAAATTAGGAGAAAAGTATTCTTGAACTTTGCAACTCCATACCAAACCTTGTAGTCGAACTTGGGTTCAATGACACTAATATACACAAAGAAACTATTGAAATTTGTAAAAACTTCAAGGTACTCTTCTCTAAATTTGGAATTTGTCACAAGCTTATTAACTCCTGCAATCAGTTCAATGAAAATAAGAAACAGGACCTTGGTATGTCATATGTTATTTTTTGGCAGAACAAAATAAATAGACAAAATCATTAACTATTTGATCTTCATCTTTGCTTTTTTAAGTCATTGTGTTATATAAATATATATATATATATATATATATATATATATATATATATATATATATATATATATATATATATATATACATATATATATATATATATATATATATATATATATATATATATATATATATATAT